TAGTATCGAGTCAGTCTTTGCTTTCAAACAAAGACACACAAACCACGCCGCACGACGAGCCATTGCGCTGCCGCCCTGCGAGGGAGACTCTGCGCTCGGGCTGCTACAGCCGGAGTGCGCCGCGATGAACTCGGACCGCCCACATTCCAGGGCCGTCCGCGGGTGCGCGCGCAGTCTGACGGCGTCCATTCCTCTTCTCTCACTTCCACTTCTGTTCCATTGTTCGTTTCTGCTTCTGTTCCACTCTGTGCCGTCCATCTCGGCTGCATGCAGTGTATCAACTGTGTGCTGTACCAAACACGCGTCGATGCAGATGCAGAGAAAGGAACTGCATCTCTGCTAGCATCGTGGCTGGACATGCTTAACGGTAACGAGCAGAGCAGGTTCCTCACACTCAGTCTCCTTCCCCATTGTTTCGCGCCGAGCACCATCGCCGCCATCCTCCATGGTGATACAGGGCAGACGCCATTGGCAAAATTCAGAACTCAGAATTCAGAGTGCAGACTGCAGAGTGCAGAGTGCAGAGTGCAGATTGTGGTGATTGAGCGCATGGGTGGTTCGGCAGCAAGAAAAGTGAAAATACAAGCGAGTCGGCTATAGTATATCGGATAGTATGCCAGTCTGTCACATTGGAGAGCCGGGTTCAACTCCCGGTAGCCGAGCGTCTTCTTTTCGTTTGCAGCGGCAGCCGCATTCAGTCGATCGGTCAAGCAGTCAAGCAGTCGATTAATCAGTCGGCCCGCGGCATGCTGCATCGCACGCCTTCATAGCCTCATTGACGCCGGTCGCAGCAGCGGGATAGCACTGAGCAGAAACGGAAGACGAAGACGAGGAGTTGGATTTCCAGACAGCACTGCTGAGGCAATTCTTTTGTCACTGGAGCAAGGCGGTGCGTCGGCAGCCAGTCATGTCGGCAGCCTGGCAGGAGCCGGAGAGTGCGTGTTCAACGGGCAATGCGACTCTTCATCTGACATGCCTGTTCATCTGCCTGCTACATTTCGCGGCAACGGCTGTCTGGTGCGAACGCGGTGCTGTGGCAGATGCTGTGGCGGTGGATGCAGCCCAAGGTCAAGGTCAAGGTCAAGGTCAAGGTCAAGCTCGATTTGCGGTGAGGTTAGCAAATGCGCCAGAGAGAATACGCTCTAGACGGCGGCGCATGCCGGAGAATGTGAACATGTGCAGGGGGTGTAGCTCAAATGGTAGAGCGCTCGCTTAGCATGCGAGAGGTACAGGGATCGATACCCTGCTCCTCCACACTTTTTGGTTGTTGCCGATAGCCTTTTTGAAGGCACTCGCGCGAGCTTGCTGTGCTGGCAGCTGCAAAGCGGGGACACATGCAACACGTGCGAGCTGTGCCGACTTCAACTTGGACAATATAGCTAGAGCCAGCCAAGTCGATCCAAGCAGGCTACAAAATATATGCCACCGCCTGGATATCCATGTGGGCAGCGCATTCTGCTCGATCGGCAACAACATTCTCCTCCTCAACTGCAGCGACCAGCTGCCTGTTCTCGGCCGATCCGAGTGTGTGCTCGTGCAAAAGGTGCCAGCCAGCCATCTCTTCTCCCACAGCGTCATGCGGTATGTGTGTGCATGTATGTGTGCATGTGTGTGAATGTGTCTGTGTGCGGCCGACAGCTCGCACTGGCTATGCATCAGGACGGCAATCCGCAGTTCGGGCCACCACACTCACAGAGTGCCGGCTGATAACTTTAGTCTTTA